GAATCGATTACACAAAACCGTTCCAACTGCCCGTCTCCCGGGGGACGGTACATTCGTGCGATTCGAGCTGCGCGCGGCAAATTGCGCGGCGGAGCTCGTGGCCTTCCGAGCGGCCCTGGCACCTATTATTGGGGCACAAACTTGAAGTAGAGTAGATTAGTATGGTCGGCTAATCGTACTAATCTACTTTACTGCGAATTTGGGCCCGAATAGTAGGCACTAAATTCGTCAGAATCGCTATGAATTTCGCCGCGCAAACTGCCGCGCGCAGCTCGAATCGCACGAATGTACACACACCCCCCGTCTCCCCGATGTACCAGCTTCAGCACAACATCCTCTACGGCCCCTACAAGGGCGTTAAACTGCTATTCGTGAAAATGGACTTCCGTTGAGGCCGAGAAGAAATCCTTTCACCCACCTTGAAAAGAACAGGTATTAATGCCTTCCTGATTGTGAAGGAGTTAAGAATTGTTGTAAAGGAAATACGTGGTAATGCCATTAATGTAACATCAATTTGCAAATGGTTGACTACTCAATAATAAAACGAATACAAAATGAAAAATACCCATAGTATGAGGCCATAGAAACGTACCTTTTCAATCGAATGTAAACAACTGATACACCAAGCATTTGGCTATCTGTTGATAATGATTTCAAAAAGCTGTTTGCACCAAAAAACACCTGTGGAATTCCCGAGCTCATTCTAAGGAAACCTCCGGATTGTTTCAAACCAACCTTCATTAAGCTATTCAACGACATTTCCACTCACGGATAGCCGTCTTAAAAAAAAAGAATGTTACCGTATCGGGGGCAAAAATGTTTATTTCAAAGCAAGTAAGCGAAAAGAAAACCGTGTCTCCTTTGGAAATCATATGTAGTCGAATGTTTGAAATAAGATGGAATAACTTACAAATCACAAATAGCTATAATGCGAAAAAAAATTAATTATTGAAGCTATTTCACATTGGATTTTGTCTACAGCATATCACATCAACTTCACAAACTTTGCACAGAAGCCAAATAAATTAGAAATTAGAAAAAACGGGTTCGAAAGGAAAACTGGAACAACGTGATCTTCACGAAAGAAACAACTTGTAGAGTACCGGATTTGAACAACCACACTAAAGAACAGGGAGAGAGGGCATGACCATATCAGCCACCAAAAAATACATCACTTAAAAAGCTTCAATTGGAAGCAAAAATATCGAATATGGTCGGAAAGCAAGCAGAATCCACCACAACACCAGAAATACAGAAATAATTGAAAAAACGAGAAATTACAGAAGCGAAAAAATTACCGTATATGTTACACGCATGATCTAATAACATTATTCAGAACATTCCGTGTAGCTGCCGATATCAGAAACTAGGCAATTCCAGCACTGTGTCTATCAAGAAGATAGATCTACTTCGATAAAAGTCATCTCCTACGACTGTCGCGACCAATTCAGCGCCAAAATTTAGGCCCCTTCAGGAATTTCAGTTCAGAAATTTATGCTGATTACCGTATCAATAGAAGCGATAGGAGCATACAACCACCACAATATCAAGCACTTTTCAAAGTAACTCATTTCATGCGACTTGTTCAACTGGCTGCTCCTCGACCACCTCTTCCTCCTCTTCATCGGGTTTTGGCAATGAACGAGGCAGGAAGTCACGATCCGGCCAAAATGCCGAAAAGATTCGTTGGGCCTGAAACAGATGTATCTGCGTAGAATGAAGAACCAATATTGACTGACCTGTTCCCTAATTCAAGCAATGATCGAATTGTGCCAGGCCCTGACATCAACCAAAAGTCATTTTTCGAAGAAAACTGGAACTAATTAGGGACTGTGGTGAAAATTTCATCAGTGTGACCGATGGATATAGTGAAAATGAACGGAATATTGTTAGAGGCCAGATTACTCGATAAACGGTGATGATTTCGTAGGGAGCAAAGACCGAAGTCATTGGAACTGTATTCGTCTTGATCGAATATGATGGTCGGGACTCCACATTACTAAATTTAAGCTGGAAATAGGTGGAATCGGAACCGGAAACAGGAGCTAATCGTTGATATTATGGAATACGCAGCACTCTTGTTCGAAGGATTAACAGGCTTCAAACAGAGATCTCCATTTTTCAACTGTGGACCCCCTGATTATGCTTCACTACATAAACCCAAATCATAACTGAACTCATATCTACCTCATCAATCGATGTTGCATAATCTAGTGCATGATCAGGACCAGAAACACAGACAGCGTTGTCCATCGGCAGCTCGAGAGACGCACTGGTCAGGACTTCGAAGTGGAGAGACCAACAGGGAGATGGTCTATCTGAAAGGTATCCCTTTCCTCTAGTTAAAGAATACGCTCAAAAAATGTGACACTGACCACTATCCGGTTCACCGAAAACTCGCTGGCAAATCTTAGGAATAGACGACTCGTCAGCTGCTTTTCTTCCAGTGAAGTGCACAAGATCTTAAGAATGCTTTCATTCTATATATTCATTCACATTCTCCTAGAATATCTTTTAAAGGCACCGTTCACGATAAAAAAGTTATTGAGTTCTTACCTTATTAATACTCAGCGGCCCCCATGGTTGTAGAAGGGACCCTCTCACTCCCCCAATCTCGACGTCCAGGGCACAGTGGCAGCCCCGTTGTTGCCGTAGTTCGCGTTCCCGCCCCTCGATCGGTGTCACGTTAGACGAGTGTCGAGACAATACAGATTGCTATTATTCGTTCTAGGACCCACGCACAATCAGCTAATCGCCGAGTGATGAGGCGACGTTTTTCTCCCATTCTTTTTTCCTCTGTTTTTCTTTTTGCTGCTGCGATCCCTTATTTAATTTCCTACTCCTAAAGGCTAAAAAGGTGAGCTACTTTTGCTGTCACTGGGGTTTTTAAGTTTATTTATGCTTATAAGTGAATGAATTTCTTCTTACCATTGTCTGTTATTCGCACCAGGACCCACACGCGCGCAGTGAAACACACTGTTTAGCTCGTCCGGACGCCCCACCCTTCTTCATTATTCTGGTTTCATTCTCGTCTAGCCCCCTTTTTAACGTTTTTTCGAGGCCTTTTTTAACTTTGGAAACACCGATGCACGCAGTTTCTTCACCTCAGTCGCACTAGTTTCGATCT